AAATCAATAACAGAAAAAGCAAGGAAAAAAATCAAACACATGGAAACTGAACAACACCTTGCTCAAAAACTACTGAGTTATAGAAGAAATTAAGGATGGAATAAAGAAATTTATAGAATCAAGCAAGAATTAAAACACATCCTACAAGAACCTTTGGGACACAGCAAAAACAGTGCTCAGAGGTCAGTTTATAGCAATAAATGCACACATCAAAAAAGAAGAAAGGGTGAAAATCAAAACATTAATCCTACAACTTGAACAAGTAGAAAGAGAGCAGCAAAAGAAGCCCTCAGGCGCCAGAAGAAAGGAAATAATAAGAATTAGAGCAGAATTAAATGAAGTAGAGAATAGAAAAACACTTGAAAGAGTTAACAAGACCAAAAGCTGGTTCTTTGAAAAGATCAACAAAATTGATAAACTATTAGCCAGACTGACAAAAGAAAAACAGGAGAGGAAGCAAATAACCCGTATAAGAAATGAGGTGGGTGATATTACAACAGACTCAACTGAAATTAAAAGAATCATAACAGAATACTCTGAAAAATTGTACTCTAACAAACTTGAAAACTAGAGGAAGTGGACAAATTCCTAGAAACTCACTACCTACCTAAACTAACACAAACAGAGGTAGAAACACTAAATAAACTCATAATGAAAGAGGAGATTGAAAAGGTAATTAAAAAACTCCCAACAAAAAAAAGCCCTGGCCCAGATGGTTTCACTGGAGAATTCTCCCAAACTTTCAGAGAAGAGTTAACACCACTACTACTAAAGATATTTCAGAGTATAGAAGACGATAGCATACTCCCAAACTCATTCTGTGAAGCCAGCATAACCCTGATTCTAAAACCAGGTAAAGACACCACAAAAAAAGAAAATTACAGACTAATATCCCTCATGAACATTGACACAAAAATCCTCAACAAAATTGTAGCCAATAGAATAAAACAACATAACAAAAAAATAATTCACCATGATCAAGTGGGGTTTATACCAGATATGCAGGGATGGTTCATCATTAGAAAAACAATCAATGTAATCCATCACAAATTCAGAAAAAAGACAAGAACCATGTGATCTTATCAATCGATGCAGAAAAGGCATTTGACAAAGTCCAACACCCATTCATGATAAAAACTCTCAGCAAAATAGGAATAGTAGGGAAATCCCTCAAATTAGTTAAAGGCATTTATACAAAACCAACAGCCAACATCATCCTAAATGGAGAGAGTTTGAAAGCATTCCTCTTGAGAACAGGAACCAGACAGGGATGCCCTTTATCACCACTCTTATTCATCATAGTGCTAGAGGTCCTAGCCAGAGCAGTTAGGTTAGAAAAAGAAAGAAAGGGCCTTCAAATTGGTAAGGAAGAAGTCAAAGTATCTCTATTTGCAGATGATATGATCTTATACACAGAAAACGCCAAAGAATCCACAAGAAGACTACTGGAACTAATAGAAGATTTCAGCAAAGTATCAGGATACAAGATAAACATACAAATATCAGTTGGATTCCTCTACAGCAACAAAGAGAACTTTGAAAAGAAAATCACCAAATCAATACCATTTACAGGAGTCCCCCAGAAGATAAAATACTTAGGAATAAATCTAACTACAGACATAAAAGACCTATAAAATGAAAACTACAAGACACTACTGCAAGAAACCAAGAGACCTGCATAAGTGGAAAAACATAACTTCGCACATGGATAGAAAGACTCAACATTGTGAAAATGTCATTTCTACCCAAAGCGATCTACAGATACAATGCAATCCTGATCCACATTCCAACAACATTTTTTTAATGCGATGGAGAAACAAATCACCAACTTCATATGGAAAAAGAAGATGCCCCGGATAAAGTTACTCAAGAAGAAGAACAAAGTGCGAGGCCTCACGCTACCTGAGTTTAGAACCTTTTATACTGCCATGGTAGTCAAGACAGCCTGGTACTGGTACAACAACAGATACATAGACCAATGGAACAGAATTGAGAATCCAGACATACATTCATCTACCTATGAGCAGCTGATACTTGACAAAGGCCCATAGTCTGTTAATTAGAGAAAAGACAGTCTCTTTAACAAATAGTGCCGGCGTAACTGGCTATCCATCTGCAAAAAACTGAAACAAGGCCCATACCTCACACCATGCACAAAAACTAACTCAAAATGGATGAAAGATGTAAATATAAAATCAAAAATGATAAAGATGATGGAAGAAAAAATAGGGACTGTGCTAGGAGCCCTAATACATGGCATAAACAGAATACAAACCATAAGTAACAATGCACAAGCACCAGAAGAGAGACTAGATAACTGGGAGCTCCTAAAAATCAAACACTTATGCTCATCAAAAAGACTTCACCAAAAGAGTCAAAAGACAAGCCTACAGACTGGGAAAAAAATTTTTGGCTATGAGAAATCTGATCAGCATCTAATCTCTAAAATCTACAAGATACTGCAAAACCTCAAAAACAACAAAACGACAATCCAATTAAAAAATGGGCAAAGGATATGAACAGGCACTTCACCAAAGAAGATATTCAGGTGGCTAACAGACACACGAGGAAATGCTTACGATTGTGAGCCGTTAGAGACATGCAAATCAAAACTATAATGAAATACAATATCACCCCAACAAGGCTAGTATTAATCCAAAAAACACAAAATAATGAATGTTGGAGAGGTTGTGGAGAGACTGGAACACTTATACACTATTGGTGGGAATGTAAAATGGTATAGCTATTTTGGAAATTGATTTGGTGTTTCCTTAGAAAGCTAGAAATAGAAGTACCATAGGAACCAGTAATCTCACTCCTTGGGATATATCCTAGAAAAACAAGAGCCATCAGACGAATAGATATATGCACACCCATGTTCATTGCAGCACTGTTCACAATAGCAAAAAGATGAAGACAACTTAGGTGCCAATCAGTGGACAAATGGATAAACAAATTATGATATATTCACTCAGCAGAATACTATGCAATGATAAAGAACAATGAATCCTTGAAACATACCGTGGAGGAATCTGGAAGGCATAATGCTGAGTGAATTTAGTTAGTCACAGAAGGACAAATATTATATAAGACCACTATTATAAGAACTCAAGAAAAGGTTTAAACACAGAAGAAAACATTCGTTGATGGTTACGAGCATGGGAAGGGAGAGAGGGGTATTCACTAGCTAGATAGTAGACAAGAATTATCTTAGGTGAAGGGAAGGACAACACACACTACAAGGGAAGTCAGCATAACTGAACTAAACCAAAGCTAAGAAGTTTCCTGAATGCAACCAAACACTTTGAGGGATAGAGTAGCAGGGGCGGGGGTCTGGGGGACCATGGTTTCAGGGGACATCTAGGTCAATTGGCATAACAAAGTTTTTTAAGAAAATGTTCTGCATCCCACTTGGTTGAGTGGTTCTGTGATCTTAAAAGCTAGTGAGTGGCCATCTGAGATGCATCAATTGGTCCCAACCCACCTGGAGCAAAGGAGAGTGAACACCAAAGACACCAGGAAAGTATTAGCCCAAGAGACGGAAAGGGCCACATAAACCAGAGACATCAGCCTGAGACCAGAGGAACTAGATGGTGCCCAGCTACCACCAATGACTGCCCTGACAGAGAATACAACAGAGAGTCCTTGATGGAGCAGGAGAAAAGTAGAGTGCAGAACTCAAATTCTAGTAAAAAGACCAGACTTAATGGTTTGATTGAGACTGGAGGGACCCTAGAAGACATGGCACCCAGGCTTTCTGTTATTCCAAAACTAAAACCATTCCCAAGGCCAACTCTTCAGACAAAGATTAGACTGGACTATGGGACATTAAATGATATTCGTGAAGAGAGTGCTTCTTAGCTCAAGTAGATACATGAGACTAAATGGGCAGCTCCTGTCCAGAGGTGAGATGAGAAAGCAGAAAGGGACAGGAGCTGGTTGAATGGACACGGGAAATCCGGAGTGGAAAGGAGGAGTGTGCTGTCACAGTATAGGGAGAGAAACTAGGGTCACATAGCAATGTATGTATAAATTTTAGTATTAAACTTTAACTTAAAGCACAACAATAAAAAAAAAGAAGAAACTGCCAAATAGTTTTCCAAAAAAAAAAAGAAAACCCTGTGGAGCACAGTTCTACTCCAACACACATGGGATCGTCATGAGTCAGAGTTGAGTTGACAACAACTGGTTTTTAATCAGTGGAATGGTTAACTTGATTGCTCTTGAAAGAGGAACAAGAATAGTGTGCATGTAGGAAAGAGGGAATGTCTTTTTAAAAGTAGCTTATTAAACAATAATTTTAATTTCTCAGTGTGCTTTCTGCACTTGTGTTCGCTGGAAAAAAATGATTAAAAGTAGATTGTCTGAAACCACCTATGTTACTGACCTTTCTACCCAATTCCTGTGGATTTTTTGCCCCAATTCTTTCTTCTTTCTTTTCATTTTTACTTTTATTGTTGTTAATGATACTACAATTCTCTCAGTTACCCAGTTCTAGTCTCTTCATGTCCTGTCCATCTATGTAAATCTGCCAGTGTAATCTTTATAAAACATCAGCTTTAATGTTATTTGTTTGTTTAGAAACTCTAATAAATGTATGTGACTTGCTCAAAGGATTCAGTTCAAACTATTTAGATTGATATGCTCAGTTTGTATCTCATTTTAAGTGCTTTTTCTGATTATTTACCACGAGCCCTGTGAACCAGCCAAAAGTCTTCATATTATTCATGAGTGGAAGTGATCTCTTCCCCTTCTAAATTTTATAGCACTTTTCTTCTGTATAGCAACTGTCATGTGCTACACTGTATTGTCGTCATTTGTCTGCATATTTAGCTTCCAAAATCGTTTAAGGTCTCACCACAATATAAGTTCCTGGGAGCAGTGGCCGTGTCTTGCATGTTTGCATTGCGCAAACTAGTGCCTTGTAAGTAATTGGTTCTCAAGAAATATTTCTTATATGAGTAAATAAGTAATTGTGATGATTTCTTGGTTTCTTGCAGGATTTTAGGAAAGAAAGATGGCTCAACCTACTGGGAGAAGTTTTATGCAAGTATTATGTGAAAAATACAGTCCTGAGAACTTTCCTTACCGCCGTGGTCCTGGTATGGGAGTCCATGTCCCAGCCACACCTCAGGGCTCCCCTATGAAAGGTAAGAAAGATGGGACCAACAACATTTATTTACTGGAGCTTACTTATGCAGTAGGAGTCCCTGGGTGGCACAAATGGTTAAGCACTCGACTACTAGCTGAAAGATTGGTGGTTCGGACCCAGTGAGAGATGCCGCGGAAGAGAGACCTGGTGATCTGCTTCTGAAAGGTGAGAGCCTTAAAAATCCTGTGGAGCAGTTCTGCTTTCCACACATGGGCTCATTATGAGTCGAAATGGACAAGACAGTAACTACAACACGTAAGAGGTTAAATCAAAATGTTGCCTTGTTTGCAGTGATTTCCTTTATTTTAAACGATTTCCCGAATAGTCTTTCCCTCTTGTTATGATTTCAGTTGTTTTAAGAACCTGGCAGGACTTGTTTTCCTTCAGATTGGTTAAAAGGCATTTTAGGTGCACTCATAAGGTAACAATAATATTTGAGTGATAATATTTTCAATGTCTTTCCTTTCAAGAAACTTGGAGGGTATAAAGCAGTACGAGCCTGACCTGTGCCCTCAAGGGCCTTACAGCCTAATTGGATTGCAAGATATTCACATTTACAAAGATACGACACCAAGTAGTTTATATTGAGCCACATGAATGGAACAGAGTCTGGGAAAGAAATGAAGGAGAGAGTTGATTAATAGGATCAGGAAAGGCTTCAGAACTGTGAGATCTGAACTAGCCCCTCATGAATAAGTAGAATTTGGCTAGAGAGGTGACAAAGGCATTCTAGGAGAGAGACTGTGATATGAGCAAAGATCTACAACTAGAAATGTGAAGGGTGTTTTTTGCTTGCCTTTTAGTTTAGTGTTGCAGGTAAAAGTCCTTGGAAGTAGTTGTTTGTCATTATGTGGGATTAATATCAAATCAAAGTTTTAGTTCCTAAGTCCAAAGGTTACTGAGTGTTTGTTGTTTCTCAGTACAGCTATCTTCTCTCTGGGTAAACTGGAATGGCAGGGAGGGGTGGACTTCTTTCATGGTAATTTGTTTTTTAGGATCTGTTCCCATTCCGAGAAATTTGATAACTGAAATATACCAAGGTGAAAAACCATATAATTTGGAGCCTCCATTAATAAATAAATTAATAAATTATTACCTTCATAAACCCTTGTCTTATGCCAAATAGGAAAAGAGTGGTTGAATTCTCATGCTTATCCTTTTTATTGGAGATAGTAACAGTGATTTTTTTGGCACATGTGTTTTTGGACCCGCCAGTAGTCAGAGTTGTTACCTCACTTTGACCAAGTTCATTGAACAGTTTAAGACTCTGAAATACTTTCATTTTCTCCCATTACAGTTATATTTAAAAAGAAGCTAATTTTCATAAGGACAAATTCTACTTGGATATGAAATAGGGATGATTGATGGACGATTATGAGAAAAAGAGATGTAGATTTTTTAAGGGATCCACTTAAGTAAGGAAGATTTCTTGAATGATATGAACTGGAAGGACAGAAATAGTTTAGCAGATAGACTCTAATGGTCTGTGATAATTTTCAATGACAGCAAAAGGTGAAGATAAGCATCAGAAAGAAAAGAGATATCCAGAGTGATACTTTTGAACTAAATTTAAAAAAAGGAAGAATTGAGGCCAGCAAGAAGGCAGTAGTAATCCAGACATGAATTAGCATGAGTCTAATGTTCAGATGACAACGTTCAGATGATAATGTAATCTTGTGTTGAGATGATGGCTGTGTTGTTAGTAATTGTGATAAACAGTCCTGCTGGGAGATAAACCCTGAAAGACTTTGGGGTGTATCATGTATTGAATTGTGTCCCCCAAAAATATCTGTCAACTTGGCTGGGTCATGATTCCCAGTATTGTATGATTATCTACCATTTTGTCATCTGATATGATTTCCCTATGCATTGTAAATCCTATCACTTTGATATAATGAGATGGATTAGCATTAGCAGCAGTTATGTTAATGAGATCTACAAGATTAGGTAGTGTCTTAAGCCAATCTCTTTTGAAATATAAAAGAGAGAAGCAAGCAGAGAGATAGGGGGACCTCATACCACCAAGAAAGCAGCACCAGGAACAGAGCACGTCCTTTCGACCTGAGGTTCCTGCACTGAGATGCTCCCAGACCAAGGGTAGGCTGATGACAAGGAACTTCCTCCAGAGCCAGCAGAGAAAGCCTTCCCCTGGAGCCGGCTCCTAGACTGTGAGAGAATACATTTCTCTTTGTTAAAGCCATCCATTTGTGGTATTTCTGTTATAGCAGCATTAGATGACTAAGACAAGGGTGGTACTGGTCCAGTGCTTCTGATCTCCCTGGGGCCATATTTGGCTGTCTTCCCTTAGAAGTCAGTACTCTTGGATCCTGTTATATCCTGAAATTTTCATGTCCTTGTGTAATTTTGTGCAGTTTCATTTTTGTTTCTTGATTCCTGGAGGCTGAACGTATGTAGACAAGAATTAGGCTGACATAAAAATATCTTGTTTCCCCTGTGATTCAGATCGCCTCAACCTCCCAAGTGTACTCGTATTGAACAGCTGTGGAATAACCTGTGCAGGAGATGAAAAAGAAATTGCTGCCTTCTGTGCTCACGTATCAGAACTAGATCTTTCTGACAACAAACTCAAAGACTGGCATGAGGTAAAGTTTTTATATTGCTGTGTTTTGGTGAAATAAACAATAACCACTGTATTATTGTTTATGTTGTTATGTATTCTGCTGACTTCTGGTTCTCATTTGAGATTCTTGTCTGTATGTCTTAAGATAAATAACTGACTGCTTCAGCTTTGTCTCTGGTGATTTTTAGACTAGCTTTGTTATTGCTGGTTTGTTTTTCATCAGTGTAAAAAAGCACTGAGGAACTTTATTCCAGGCATCAATGATTAATTAATGATTAATGATGCGTTAAATTCTATACTTTTTCACTAGTTTATATATTCTATGTTCGTTCTGTACTACTACCTCAATATTTATTACTATAAATCAACATAAAATTGCTTGAGATTAAAACTAAGATTATAAAAATACATTCTGACTACTGAAATTTATTCTGAATATTTTAGAACTTTTTCTTATATTATTAAGTCCCTGTGGTGATTTGATACAAATAATGTCTTTTGACTTCAGTGTAACTCTAAAACAAATACACAAATAACAGCATTCTTTATTATGACATTACCTACTTGATTATAACATTAGCTGAGAGAAGATACCCTTAAAAATAAGGGAAAAATAGTTCTTCCTACTTGGTTCATTCTCCTGCTTTAATTTTGACTCTTATTTCTTGCTTAAAACCAAACCCGTTACCGTTGAGTCGATTCCGACTTATAGGGACCCTTAGGACAGAGTAGAACTGCCCCATAGGGTTTCAAAGGAGTGGCTGGTGGATTAGAACTGCCGACCTTTCGATTAGCAGCCGAGCTCTTAACCACTGCACCACCAGAGCTTCTGTTTCTTGCTTAGACTATTAAAAAAGTTTCCCAATGGGTTTTCCTGCCTCTAGGTTTATTCTGCTTCCTCTAAGCAATCTTCCACAGTGTTACCAAACTCTTTTTAATAAGTGGAAAGTGATTATGACACTCTCCTGCTTGAAGTCCTGCATTTGCTATTCATTGCCTAGAATTAAGGCCTAAACTCTAAGAACGTCCCTTCATCATATGGGCCCTTGCTATTTCTAGAGTTTTATCTCTATGTTTAGCCATATGCTTTTACTCAGAATAAACATGCTATTCATTCTGAATCCATAGCTCTTCTTTGCCTCTTGGTGGCCTGGTCACTTCTATTCATCCTTCAAGACTTGACCCAAGTGGCTATTGCTCTGTGAAACTTTCCCTGGCTCTCACTCAGCAGAATCAGATTAACCTGGAGTACCTACCATACTGCTATGAGAAGGATTTATCTTAATGTATTGTAATCACTTGTTTACTTGATAGTTTTCCTACTAGACTGTGAGCTTATTCAAAATTGAGATTTTTGTCTTTTTATCACCATCACCCATCATAGTAGGCACTCAAATATTTGTTGAATACATTAATGAATAAACGATTATATCTTAAGGACTGATCAAGGCCACTTGCTCCAACTTTTCCTGTGATCTCGAGCAATTCACTTAATCATTTGGTGCTTCACTTTTACTCATCCATAAGACAGGGCTGCTGATAAAATTAATCATTGAAGCACTTTGTAGATATTCAGTGGTATACAAATTTTAACACAGCTTTCTTACTGAAGAAAAATCTATCTATAACGTAGTTTTCTTCAGCTTATATTTATCCATTTCATAGTCTTGTTTAATCTGGTAACTGTACTCTAGGTTCTATTTCCTGCTTTTATTAAGATGTTACCCAGAATTCTTTGAGATACATGTCACCTACTTCTAAGTGACTTGTTAATATATGCAGATTTATAGGGCTGTTCTAAGAAAGAACTTCTATTTGTACATATTTTATTTATTTATTTGACTTCTCTAAACAACTACTACAGTCCACTGTCTAACAAATTACAGCCTGTACCTTTGTGGTCCTTTGAGACACTTAATTGACATGCATGCTCTGTCCACAAATGCAGAAAAGAACTAACTCATTAATTTTCTTCCTCCATGGTACTCATGATAGTCCTGCTCCTGAAACCTCTGGTGAGATTTGTGACCTGCTTGGGTGACAAGTCCAACCAAATCTTCCTCTGAATCATTTCAGCTCTTATGTTTACATGCTCACTCCCCTAAATGTGTTTCTTTGGGAGTATAAGATTTTGCATAGGTTTTGCACCCATGCTTTGAAAATGAACATAAACTTTTGCTAATTGGTGGGAACAGTTTAACAGTGATGTAGTTGCTACCTTAGAAGGAAGATTTATGTAAATATGGATCAGTACACAGAGTTTACATTAGATTATTCAGCTGTCCCTTTGTATAGAAGGTCTGCAGTAAATATTTCTGAAGCCTAATTGATGTATATAGCCATTTATCTGGACTCTTTTTACACCCACTTTCCATGTTCCTATATATGCTTTATAGTCTGTTTTCAGGTAAACATTTATTGCTGCTATTCTTCAGGTTTCCATTTTCCAATTATTTTTGTTTGTATCGTTCCTTTATATTCCCTCCTTATTCTTAATGGTAGTTGATTCAATCTTCTAGAGTATGTATTAGAGCACAAAGAGATGGGGGAAATACTGACAGCAATGAATATTGCTTTTTTTAGGATTGATTGAACTCTTTGCCAGGCTACAAACGCCTCATAGATCACAGTTTTAAAACATGACATTTCAACCAGGGCTTTGAACTGGTTCATTCTGGTTCGAACCCTGCTGAGAAGTTGCATTTCCACCCCAGATATATTGAATCAGAATCTACATTTTAACAAGAGCCTCAGGTGATTCTTATGTATAATAAATTTTGAGAACAACTGCTCTGGTAGTGGTTCTCAGAATTGGTCCCTAACTAGCAGCGTTAGCATTGCCCAGGACACCCTGCTAACTCAGAACTGAAGCTACTCCTGAAGTCCACCTTTTATATAAAAATTAGACAGGCATATAAAACAAACAATAGGACGTGAGAGGAATGTGCTTCTTATTTCAATCAAGTGTACGAGACCAACTGGGCAACAGTACCCAAAAGCAAAGACAAGAAGGCGGGAAGGGATAGGAAAACTGGATGAATGGACACTGAGAACCCAGAATGGAAAGGTGGAATATGTGGGGATTGCAACCAGTGTCACACAACAATTTGTGTATACATTTTTGAATGGAAAAACTAATGTGCTCTGTAAACTTTCACCTAAAAAAACAATAACATTAAAGAAAAAAAAGAAATGCAAATTTTCAGCAGAGGTTTGAACCGGAACAAACCGGTTTGAAGCCCTAATTTCAATCTTATTACAACCCATATCTCTGATTACCAAAAAGATCATTAATTCCTGGCTATCAACTAAGTTTATTTCAGCCAGTATTTGACATAGCAATGTGCAGCAAAATAAAAGTTTGTTCTTTATAGTTTTTTAATGGTCACTAATGTTATGAGTTGTGAGTAACTTCTTTTGCAGTTTAAACTACTGGCTACCACATATCCAGAAACGAAGATAATATGGATGAGAAGTGTTATAATAATTTAGGGAGAGGCAAAGATTTATCTTTATCCTTCTAAAACTGGGCACCTATGCATAAAATGAGTTCTAAGGTGCACCTGACCCAAGCCATGGTGTTTTCAGTCACCTCATATGCATGTGAAAGCTGGACAATGAATAAGGAAGATCGAAGAAGAATTGATCCCTTTGAATTATGGTGTTGGTGAAGAATATTGAATATACCATGAACTTCCAGAAGAACGAACAAATCCGTGTTGGAAAAAGTACAGCCAGAGTGCTCCTTGGAAGCGAGGATGGCAAGACTTTGTCTCGTGTATTTGGGACATGTTATCAGTAGGGACCAGTCCTTGGAGAAGGACATCAGGCTTGGTAAGGTAGAGGGTCAGTGAAAAAGAGGAAAACCCACAATGAGATGGACTGACACAGTGGCTGCAACAATGGGTTCAAACGTAGATTGTGAGGATGGTGCAGTACCGGCCAATGTTTCGTTCTGTTGTACCTAGGGTCTCTGTGAGTCTGAACTGACTTGACGGCACCTTATAACAACAGCATGCATAAGAAAAATGCATTTCTTTAGCTTTTGACTTGAATTTTCAACTAGGTAGATTTTTGTCTGACCTTTCCTAAGGTATCTCCTTTTTTCCTCTCTTCCTTATCAAAACTATTTTATAAAGGGAGTTAAACCAAGTAGTTGAAAGGAGAGAGGAATTAGCCACTCAGGTGAGCTACCAAATAGCTTGGGTATAAATTACAGATTGTTATCTTAAAACCCTTTCCCTATTTTTGTTAAAACTTTAGTTTCTTCCTTTTTTAAAAGCTAGAGTAGAGGGTCGCCTATTAAATCATAGAGTTGTGGAGACCTAAAAAGTGATCTAAGTTCACTTCCATGTTTCTGCATATGTGCATACGCAAATCATTCCAGCTAGAGAAGCCATTTTTATTTTTCGAATTTAAAACAAAAGGGGGAAGTCAATATACTGCCCTACTGAGTGTTGGGGACTATGGTCTCAGGGGACATCTAGGTCAATTGGCATAACATAGTTCATAAATTGTTCTACATCCTACTTTGGTGAGTAGTATCTGGGGTCTTAAAACCTTGCGAATGGCCATCTAAGATACGTCTATTGGTCCCATCATGTTCTTAGCAAAGGAGAATGAAGATAAACAAAGACATGAGGAAAATATTAGTCCAGAGGACTAATGGACTACATGAACCACAGCTTCCACCAGCCCAAGCCCAGAAGAACTAGATAGTGTAGGGCTACCACCACTGACCCCTCTGACAGGGATCCAATAGAGGGTCCTGGACAGAGTGGGAGAAAAATGTAGAACAAAATTCAAATTCACAAAAAAAGACCAGACTTACTAGTCTGACAGAGGCTGGAGGAATCCTGAGACTCTGGCCCCCAGACACCCTGATAACTCAGAACTGAAGCCACTCCCAATGTCCACCTTTTAGCCAAAGATTAGATAGGCCTGTAAAACAAATAATAACGCACATGAGGAATGTGCTACTTCATTCAATCAAGTATATGTGACTAAATGGGCAACACCTGCCCAAAAGCAAAGACCAGAAGGCAAGAAGGGACAGGAAAACTGGACAAATGGACAAGGGGAACCTGGGGTAGAAAGGGAAAGAGGGAGAGTGCTGACCCATTGCAGGAGATTTCAACCAGTGTCACAAAACAATTTGTGTATAAATTTTTGAATGAAAAACTAATTTGCACTGTAAACTTTCACCTAAAACACATATAAACACACAAAATGCGTATTTAAGTACGTATATATACTGCCCTAGAAACTCATGGAATGTTTGTCAGCCTTACAGATCTTTCCACTGTAAGTAAATTTACTATAATATTGTGTAATGAGTATTATATTTTCCTGAATTTTATCATAAATTCAGTTACCCAAAAAATCTCTTCCATTTCAGGCCTTTAAAGAAAATGTTTATTTGTTTATAACGTATGTTATTTTTTCCTGCTTGACTTACTAGACTGTAGTCCAAGTTTATCTTTTTAGGGTATTCAGGACTAATAAGTCATTATTCTAAATCTTTATTCTCATTATACAGTAGTGGAGATTATATTAAGTATCTGCTAACCTTAAGAAATCACCCAGAAATTGCTTTAAAAACCCTTAAATTATCACTTTTTAAAATTATTTTCTTCTTTATTATAAAAATAAAATATGGAGAGTTGTGGTTAGCCATAGGTTTATAGTTTGTTTTTATTTGACTGAGGTTGTATAATTAGTTATTCTTTATGCTTTATTTAGAGCTCAGTTCCTCTTCATCTTTTTTTGTCCTTCAAAGAGGTGAGGTATAGCTGGCCATCATCTTCTGTATGAATGTCCTTCATATCATTAGTATTCAAATAGCAGAATGCAGTGTGGGATTGGTCCTTGTGTGGGGAATTTCATTGTTTTGTGGCCACAGACGAACTCCCAGTCCTAGCCGTCTGTCTCACAGTGTGTGTTACCATTTGATCACAAAAGAGATCACACAAGAGAATATGAGTGTGTGTTACCATTTGATCACAAAAGAGATCACACAAGAGAATATGTGCAGACTGGTATAAATTCCTTACTGGTACTAGAAGAACATTTTAAGCTGAAGCCTAGTGCTTTTTCTCTAAAAGATAGTTCACTTCTTCATTTGTACGATGAGGATGAAAATGACACCCACTTCAAAGGGCAAGTCTGTGGAATCGATGAAATAGCGTAAGGACCATTCCTTCTGACCTACTTCTCTGAGCCTTCTTGGAATTAATTGACTTCTCACTGATTTTAAAGCTCCTGAACTGGACATTACACAGTAGATCTGATTGCAAGTACTGATTGCTTTTTCTTTCTACCTGTTATTTCTCAACTCTGGTAGTCCTTTGGCACTACCTATGGAGTTCTGAAAAGAAACATATACCTGGGTTCCAACCCTGAAGGTTGTCCCACCTGTGAAGCTTCTCATTCAATCCTGTATGGTGGAGCCTGGCAGTCAGTTTATTTTTAAAGTTCTACCAGTGATTCTGGTGTATAGTCAGGGTTGAGATATTAGTTCCTTACTATAACCAGAAAACCAAACCCATTGCCGTCAAGTCGATTCCAACTGATAGTGACCCTGTAGGACAAAGTCGAACTGCTCGGTCGGGTTTCTAAGGCTGTAAATCTTTATGGAAGCAGACTGCCACATCTTTCTCCTGCAGAGTGTCTGGTGAGTTCTAACAACTGACCTTTCAGTTAGCAGCCAGGTGTTTTAACCACTGTGCCACCAGGGCTCCTGACTAATCATATTAATAATAATTAGCACGTACTGAATGATTTTGTGCCATTAACTGATTCAATAAATATTAAGTGCCCGCTATGCAGTAGTGAACTAGGTAAGTACTGTCCCTGCTTTCATAAGAGTTTCCTATCTTTTGGGGTGAAGTAAGGAAACAGATTTCTAAAAGATGTACCGATTACTGTACTAAGTGCTTTACATGTATATCTCATTTATTCCTACCAGCAATCCTATAAAATAAATGGGTCCTATTTTATTTTTCATGTTTTGCAAATGAGGAAACTGGGATTTGGATGATTTACTGAAAACCCAAACCCGTTGCCATTGAGTCGATTCCAACTCATAGCGACCTTATAGCAACCCTATATGACAGAGTAGAACTGCCCCATAGGGTTTCCAAGGAGTGGCTGGTGGATTTGAACTGCTGACCTTTTGGTTAGCAGCCGAGCTCTTAACCACTGCGCCATCAGGGCTCCAGAATGATTTACTAGTTGTGGTATACTGGAAAAAACAGTAGCTCTGATTTTTAAATTCCAGATTTGGCTTTTTTGACTGTGAATAATTTAGTCAAATTACTTAACACCTCTGAGCTTCAGGTTTCCTCATTTATTAAAATGAAAGTAGTGTTATCTTGCAAGTTATTTTGAGAACTTAATGGAATAAGCTATATCAAAAAGACTAGTACTATGCAGAGCAAATAGTAAAGGTCTATAATGCTCATTTCCTTTCTTTTTCCTTCCTGATAAGTTGCTAGCTAAATTATTAAATTGATGATCATGTTTTCTCCTTCATTATGCAGTTATGGATTCTCTTTGCTTTTAAGTAAAAATATTTTAAAGTTAATACATCTTTGAAACAAGCTGAAACTGTTTTTGAAGTGATTATGACTATACAGTGAGGTTTGAGCACATGAATTGTTATCCTGTGGTCTTCAATAAACCTTAACATTGTGCTGGGAATGGGGGAAGGAGGATATTCAAAGAGAATTACAGGGCCCAATCTCAGCTCCTTAGGATGTTGTAGCCTAATATGTCATCTAAAATATCTTTTCGTCATTTATCAAAGAGAACATCATCGTGTAGAGCAGAATCAGAAAATTTGCTAAAGGCAACATAGGGAATCTTTCTTTTGTACAATTAACTATCAGTTATGCCATTATTTTATAGAAGAGATTAAATAATTTTCCAAGATTTGTGGAAATTACTTATGCCGCATCACTGTATAGGACTCTCTAATGTAAATATTTCTCTGCCTGGAGACCCACTCACCTAGGCTTTCATGAGTGTGATTGCTGTTTAAAAGCTGATTATGCCTGATGTCTTTTCTTTTTTTCTCCTTAGGTCAGTAAAATTGTGTCAAATGTTCCCCAGTTGGAGTTTCTAAACCTGAGTTCCAACCCTCTGAATTTGTCGGTTTTAGAAAGAACATGTGCTGGGTCCTTCTCTGGGGTTCGCAAACTTGTCCTCAACAACAGCAAAGCTTCTTGGGAGACAGTCCACACGATACTTCAGGAGTTACCAGAGTAAGCCCAGATACCGTGATGGAGAGGGAGCTGTATTGCCATCTGTGTTATTAAATAGCATTACTGCTGATCTCTCATCTCAGAAATACTAGAACTGCAGACTGATTGGAGAATGAGGTTAGAAAAATGAAGTAATTAGAATGATGATGTTAGGGTAATCTAATAGCATTTCCATTGGAATACTGTTCAGGGTGTTGAGTAGCACCAAGATATAGGATATGTCATCCTTTGGCTAGAAGATATCCCTGAGAAGTATTTATCACTTTGGATCAACCCAGCCTTTCTCCATTTTAATCTTCTGATTACCTGATTTAAGAATTTTGCCCCATTAGCCCTTTTCTTTGAGAGGAAAAAAAGCATATTTATCTCTAAAAAATGTTAACACTTAGATGATTAAGTGTCTAGTTGGCCTGATAGGAAAATGGATATTTTTAGATTCTTTTCAATAATTTAAGCAAGAAATTTTATTTTCATTTGTCAGTTTAGAAATGCTTTCTATATGTTGTTTGTATCTATCATTATATATGCACGTAAGTGTTCAAAGGGAGTAATTTAAAGAAATAAATGAAGTTGTAGGTTTTTTCTACTATCTAAAAATGGAAATTATCGAAGCCCTTCAGAATCTGGTCTCACCTTACTTATTCCAACTTAGTTTCTCACTTTCACTCTAAGACGACTGGTTTCCTCACTGCATGCATCATGCAGCATGGCATAGAATGAACTTTTAAATCCCAGTTCCATTTACTAACTATATGACCTTTGGCAAGCTACTTAACCTCTTTGAGCTCAGTTGCCTTGTCTGCAAAATGGGAATAATTGTATCTATCTTGCAGAAATAGAAGTGAAATATACAAAGCACCTGGCACAGGGTAGGAATTTAATAAATAGTAGTTATTATTTCCGTTTCTAAACATTTGTTCATGTTGTTTCTGGAATTTTCTTCCATCTCCTCTCCACTTGTGCAAGTTCACCCCTCCTTCAAGGCCACACATCCTTTCCTGATTATTCTGCCTTCAATTTCAATTTTATCTGATATGAATTACTACTGTACTTACATTTAGTACTGCTTAATTTATCACTTAATTATTTAAGCACAAAATTAATTTGATATTGGCCTGTTTTGTCTTCCCAGCTGTATTTTAAGCTCCAGGGAGAAATCTTTGTTTCCTCTGCAACACTAGCAGAGACTCACACATAGTAGGCAGTTACTTATTTGTTAAATGAATGAAAATAAGTGCAAAATAGAAACTTTCTGCTTTCAACAATGAAATATTTCCTTTTTTCTCTGCAGTTTGGAGGAGCTTTTCCTGTGCCTTAATGACTATGAAACAGTGTCTTGTCCTTCTATTTGCTGTCATTCTCTTAAACTACTACATATAACAGACAATAACCTCCAAGACTGGACTGAAATACGGAAGTTAGGAGTTATGTTTCCTTCCCTGGATACCCTTGTCCTGGCCAACAATCATTTAAATGCTATTGAGGAGCCTGGTGATTCACTGGCAAGGTTATTTCCTAATCTACGGTCCATCAGCCTTCATAAGTCAGGTTAGTACAGGCTTGTTCTCATTCTGCATGCAAATTAATCTAAGTTTATGCATGAAATAAAATGAAAGTGTATTTCTTTCAGTCATATCTCTACCTTCTTATAGGATGAATTTTCACTGGTGATATGCAGATGCCTATTGATTGGCTAAATTTAAGGCATTTTCATAAATGCTCTGATAAATATTAAATGACATAGCATTATATTCACATATATAGTTCATGTACTAAAGGGGTTATGCTGTGAAAGGAGTGAAATGAAACTGATGAATTAGATAGTAAAAGGCAGAATACAAAGAACTACAAACTTTGTAAAATGAACAGACATTTTATCTGGATTTAGGTTGTGGAATTCCAACCTACTGTGCTTTTTCAGATGCTTACTCTACTTTTCTGTGATTTCATAGGAATGAATATTTTTTGCACATTTCTTAAAACAGCTACATAACTAATAATAACTCTAACCTACAGCTGAAAAAAATAACCTTTAGCTTTATTCACCATAGGGTTTATAAGCATGGGAAATAAGTTTTAAAAACCAGCATTTTTCATAAGGAAGCTATTCGTTTCATAATTCCATACCTCTTGAGCTAACTCTCTTCTTCCTCCTAGACGGAAATACCATTCTGAAGGGAAGAGGATGGTTGTGACTTGGGATAGTTATACACCAGAGTCCTCAGAAATTGCTCCTCTGCCTTTTCCCTTGTTGAAGGTTGATAGAAATAGGAAGGGACTCCATTGTACTCTGAAATGGATTTAATGTGTTGTAAAATTGACCAGCTTCATTATTACAGAAATATTTTTCCTACCAGTGCCGGGTATTGACTTGGATTATACATTTCCTCAAAATCATAGGGAGAGTTTCATTTTAGGACTAAAAAATCTTCATGTGCTACATGTTCTCCTTACTCAAAGGTCCAGGTTTTCTGTGTTTGTTTTTAATATAATTTTGAATTGGTTTCTCCTGTCCCCAAAATGAGAACAAGTTGAAAAAGAGATGATATTTAGTTTCTGTTTTTATTGACTCTGCCCCATTTTAGAATTTGTCAGGTAAAAATCTGAGTATGGCAGTATCAACTCTGATCAATAATTATTATTATTATTATTGTGATTGGGTAGTTGAATAAAATGAGTTGGTCATCACTTTTTTTTATTATGTGGTCATGGAATACATCCTGCATATTGAAACCACCAATGACCCTTTTTGCAAGCAGTTTGGTAGAGAATAAGTAAATGAGTGGATGTTGAGAAACAAGACTGTCTCTCCTTTACCACTGGGATTACAGGGATAGGAGAGACTATAGGGAAGTTTTTATGATATTCTACTGTATTCCACTCTTTCCTTGGATAAAGAAAATTTTCAGGCTCTATAGCTTTAGTATAAGATCATTTTAACATTTTAGAAATTATTAATTGAAATAATTTTTTGGTATGTTTATCTTCTTATTTGTGTGCTTTTCTGGATTTACTTAAACACTATTTCCCAAATTAGGTTTGCATTCTTGGGAAGACATTGACAAACTAAATTCATTCCCCAAACTTGAAGAAGTGAGGTTATTAGGAATTCCTCTTCTGGAGCCATATACCACTGAGGAGCGAAGGAAGTTGGTGATAGCCAGGTCAGTAGTTCTTCGGCTTTCGTTTTGAGGTGAATTGTTTCCTTAAGGAGCCCTGGTGCCGCAGTGGTTAAGTGCTCTGCTGCTAACCGAAAGGTCGGCTATTTGAACCCACCAGCCTCTCCTTGGGAGAAAGATGTGGCAATCTGCTTCTGTAAAGACTACAGCTTTGGAAACCCTATGGGACATTTCCACTCTGTCCTATAGGGTTGCTGTGAGTGGAAATCAACTCCACGGCAATGGTTTATTGTTTCCTTAAAGGGATAATGCACTATCTGAGAGGAGGGCATCGTGAGCTTATCCATCTCTTGAGTAGATGGTGCTTAAAGAAGCTGCTGTGTAGCTCCAAACCTGGATGAAACGGAATGTAATGTGATGAGAAAATGTGAAATTGAATTAGCTTTTCAGGACCACTGAAAAATTTCTTCACACATCTGTTTTTATACTTTTTGATACTTAGAATATTTGAAGTCCTATTTTGAGTCATGAGGAAAAGTACGCATAATAGGGAATTGGTTCTATTTTAATTTTCCTTATTTTCTCTGTTAACATAAACCAAAAAAAAAAGAAACCAGTTGCCATTGGGTTGATTCTGATTCATAGTGACTTCGTGTGTGTCAGAGTAGAACTGTGCTCCATGGGGTTTTCAGTGGCTGATTTTTCGGAAGTAGATCAACAGCCCTTTCTTTTGAGGAACCACTGGGTGTACTCGAACCTCCAACCTTTTGGCTATAGCTGAGTGCGTTAACCATTTGCAGCACCCAGGTACTCCATTTAAAGTGTAGATACTTATAAATTGGGCAATTTCATTAGTGTAAAACTTAAGAGAACAACATCTGTGTTTTCTTCTTGAATGTAGATTAACTTAAATATGGCTACCATTACTGTTACCTTCTTCCTGTGACTCCCCCTGCCTTTCTGTCTCAGACTCTACTTCCCGCAGACTACTCATATGTTCATCTACTGTTTATTTTTGTATGAGCCTTTAGCAGCAATACGATGTTGGCTAAGGTGGAAAGGGTCATGGGACTATAATTTGTTCTCTCTGTATCCTACACATAGTAGTTTTGGAAGGAGAACAGTCAGTTTTAAGGTTCTCTAAAGGAAGAGTGAGTGGTTCTTTAAACAGGGTATTGACATTCTGACCAACTAATGCCTAGCCTATCCTTAATGCTTTGCAGTTGTTAACATGCACATTAATATCTCACTGAAGCAGTAAATTTCAAGGTACTTATCTTCCAAGAAGAATAAGTCTTGCACTAGGCCTTATACTTTGGTTTCAGTATATAATTGTTTTGTAAATATAATATATTAATTCCTGAACTATATTACCAAATTGTACAGGCTTCTTTCTAGACCTGTGCTGTCCAATATGGTAGCCACTAGCCATGTGTGGCTATGGGGCGCTTGAAATATGTTTTGTCTGAATTGAAATGTGCTGTAAGTGCAAAGGGTACACCAGATTTCAAACACTTTATATGAAAAAAGAATGTAAAATATCTCATTAATTATTTTTAATATTGATTACCTGTTGAAATGACTATATGCTGTATATATTGGGTTAACTAAAATATATATATGTATACACACACATTTTATTCTGTTTTTGGTGAAGGTTTACACAGCATGTTAGGTTCCCATTTAACAACTTCCGTACAAGTTGTTCAGTGCTGTTGGTTACCTTCTTAACAATGCATGAACATTCTCATGAACATTTCCATTCTGGTTGTTCCATTTCCATTAATCTAGTTTCCCTGCCCCCTTTAAAATAAATTATTAAAATTAATTTCACCTGTTTCATTTTTACTTTTTAAAATGGGCTATTAGAAATTTTAAAATTAAAATATTTATAGCTTGCATAATATTTAAGTTGGACATTGCTGGTCTAGAATCTTAGTTTAAATGGTAAGGTATGATTATAAAAGGTCTGCATCATATCCAAAAACAAAACTTTAATTTTATTGATTCTTTTATTTTATACCACTTTAGTTCATACCAGTAATTGTACATAAGCATAGCTACTATATCAAATATATCTTTTTAAGAGAACAACACTAGGCCTCAAACCACTGATTTTTTTTTTTAATTTAGAAATCTAAATATTTTTAGTATTTTATAATGTCTTTATTCCGGTTTTGACTTGTAGATTGCCGTCAGTTTCCAAACTTAATGGCAGCGTTGTTACTGATGGTGAGCGAGAAGATTCTGAGAGATTTTTTATTCGTTACTATGTTGATGTTCCACAGGAAGAAGTGCCATTCAGGTAAAAATCCCTCATCAGACTGAGAGAACACTTTGGAGAGTGTTGAGGCAGCTTGAGAACTGTTGTTGTAGAGCAAAATCTAATAATTTGTTACTGGGTTCTTCTGAGAGGACTTTGATAATAGGTTATAAAGAAGGGGGGAAGCAACACAAAAGCAAGCCTATTTTATCTCATTTTACACAGTGTATTTCTTCTAGCCTTGCACTTATATTAAGAATGATTGAATAAGTACTTGACTGCTTTCAATAGTTCCCACTCCATACAGCGTATCATTGATTCCTTTTTGACCTGCTTCTCCAGGGGCATGTTTTCACCCCAAAACTGGCCTGTTTTCTCACATTGCATCTATTTGTAGGATATACTAAGTTTTGCAGTTTGGAAGATCTGGCAAATGTGCAGTTTAGAGAATATGAGAAAAGGTCTAGAAAAAAGGCCCTTGAGAAAATATTAAAGGAATTCGGATAATTGAATATGAAAAGAAATGCTGAGGCTAAATTCATAATTTTTAATTTAGTAGTTTTACATATATGAAGAGTTAATATATTGTCTGGTAAAGAACTACCTTTAATGTTCTGAAAATGTATGTAAGAGGAAATGTAGGAAGTATGATACAGGTAAATATATAAGAAAAAAATTCCTCCAAAAATAGGTTTCCAGGTTTTGGTGAACTGGGATAAGTTACCAAAAAATTTACATGCTTCTTTCTTTAATGACTTTAAGAATAATATAAATACCCATTTGACAGGAGGCATTTCAGACAAATAGGATAGAAATTAGGGCTGAATGTGAATCAAATCATTTGGTCCTGCTGGTTACAAATTTTTGTGATTCTTATTAATTCCTATTGGACACATCTATGTTTTTCTCCAGAGTTCTCCATTATTGACACACTTAGAGGAGGTTGACATTCTGTTAAGTCGCAGCCAGTTCTGTATAAAAACATTTTGTGTTGTTATTAGTAGTATTTCAAAACCTAAGCATTTAAAAATATTAGACCAGTTAAGTAAGGAATTTGAAGAAAATCTTTAAAAATTAGCTAAGAGTAGCCAGGCAGGGAGAAACAGATATTGAAGTGCCTTTTAACACAACCCAAAAATATTAGATTAAACCATATCAAATTGTTTTTTGTTTTTTTGGTTTTTTTTTTTTAAGGAAAAACATGGTTTAATACCTATAATTTCATTTGGTTCAATCTAACATATTAATTGAAGAAGCTAACATATAAATATTCTGACTTGGAGCATAAGTCTGTCATTTCAGTTTACTTAACTTCCAGTGAGCTACAAGAAGCAATATCGATATAGGCAGTAAATTGTTTTCTGTCCCTGATGGTATAATTATCCTAAAGTGTATTTGTGCATCTATACTTGCATCTTAAGTGAAAGTCCTGTAAATCAGCCTTGATTAATCAGGAGAGGAACTTGTTGGAAGGAGAGTGGGAAAATAAAAGAATTGTTAGGCAGGCTGGAGAACCAACCTTAAGCAGGAACCAAGGGAGGCAAGGATAGCCAAGTTTTCAGCTTATATTGCTGCTGCACCATCATCTCTAGACACTTACTACAGTGCTGGACTTTACTTGCAGGCATGTCATTGGACATGTTTCCCCCATAAGTGTTGAAAATAATTTCTCAGTGATCTTTGCTTCATTCCCCAGGAGTCAGAAATCTGTGTGGAACCAATTGATTGGCTGTGTTTAGGGCATGTACCCACACGCTGTCTCACAAAGGATAGGGAGAGGTATTATCTGCTCTACATCGGCTTCTGTAGTGGGAGGTATATCTTGCTTCCCCTGATCTTGGGGTTTCACCCCGAATAGAAAGCAGTTCAGCAAAAATAATATCTACTATAGTCTGCCACTTGGACTATCCAACATCTATGCATACCTTTTCCTCACAGTTATATTTTTAAAAAATTTATTCCGTGTACAAATGAAAATACATTTACTTTCTTCCTGAAATGAGATAACCTAGAGTCTTATCAGTTGCTGAATCTAGTTCCAAGTGTTGGAGCTTTTAATGGTATTTGTTTCTCCTTTATTTCTATATCCTGCAACCTATTAATTCAATTGCAAAATTAACTACCCCAATATACCCTTTATAAAATAGTGACAAAAATGGATAAGGAAGGAAAATTAGTTAAAATTTATACATATTTATATACCACAGCAATGAATGCACTATAAATATGAATTGATGCTCTCATTTTTTTATATTGGTCCTGAGGCTGTAGGTAGTATTTACGACTTCTGTTTTCCATTACCTGCCCTTTTTGTCTGCCTTCAGCTAATTTTGCCAACTTAGTAGATCAGGGTTCTTTACCTGCTGGGGGAGATCTAAACCTTTTTTTCTGTGGCATTTGCACCTGTGGTGGTATTACCTATATGTGGTTTCAGTAGTCTTGCATTGTTTTTTTTACCACTAGGCCTGGTAGTACCAGGAGACACTACCAGGGATACCGTGGGTTCCATCCATACTCTGGTATTACCTCTGCTGTATTTCCCCTGACGGTCAGCATCAGTTTTCTCAGATGAAAATAAAATTTGTTTTCTTTTCTTTGGCGGCAGGGGGTTTTTGCTTAGTGATTTCTAGAACCTAAAATCGGTAGTTGAAAGTCTCATCTTCCAGTTCATTGCAATAATTGTTGTAGTATTGGTGGAGACTTTTCTCTCTTGGATTCTAAAACCTCTAAACGTAGCCCTCCTAGGGTTTATATATGGAGAATGAGTGGAGAGGTAACATGTGTGACAATAATTTTCATTATTCCTGTATCCCCAAATCTTTGAGTTCCTTCTTTCACATTATCCCCCAAAATCTGTGGCATCTCAGCCTCCTTTAGCGTAGACCACCGTTGTGTCCAGGTTCCAATAAGCCAGCTAGATAAACATTTAGAGCTACCCCTACTCAATGAAGCTAGCCTTTTGAATTCAGAATCTCTAGTTAGTGTACCTATATCAACAAATTCAGCTAGGTCTAAAACTGGTTTTCCTTCTTTGGTCTAAACCACTCAGAATCTGTTTCTGTACTTATTTCCCATAGTTTGGTCCTATAAATGACCAGAGTCCTTTAATTCTTATGCTATTTTTGTTCTTTAACCCCATAGAGCATGTTATGATGTCATGCTCGTGGAGCAGGGTATATGTGTGGAAGGGGAGGCAAATAGGGAATTAGTGTACTCTTACAAGGTAATTCCCTTGGGCATGGTGGTTAATGCCTCTTCCAGCGAGATAAAACCAGTCTCATTGGATAAGGAAGGAGGGGCTATTTCAGCTAGCAAGGGAGGAGAGGGTTAAGTGAGGGTTAGGGACTCAGAGTACTCCCAAGCCCTCAGAATCCTCTCATATACCCCTATTCCAATTATCTTTTATTTTTTTTCCAATCAGTGCCCCAACTTTAATATAATAGTCCCAGTAAGGATGCAAATTTAACTGACTTGTAATTCTCTAAACTTAGATCATCAAACCTTGTATATTTGGTTTGTTCGTTTGTGTTTTGGCTACCCTCAGTTCTGTTGTAAGAGAGTGAAAGCCCTTTTCTCAAAAGTACCTAGGTTTCAGTCTGTGTCTCATATTCTCTTTCTTTAAACTATCTTGTGCCCTTAGAATAAGCACTTGCTCTACTCCGTGGTCTTGAATCTTCATGTCCTACATATTTTTCTTTTCTTGGCAGCATTCTCTCGATCACCCAGAGCATCTTCTTTAATGAATACTTCATTCCCAGTGACCACAGGTTATTAGTTATTTCACTATTCCATGTCATAGACTTACAAAATCCCTTCCATGAACACTAACATGATACTCACTGACCCCAACTAGGCCAGAAGCCAATCCCAGATTGTCCTTAATTATCTGAGAAGCTGTTGTCTACAACTACTCTCTGGTACCAATTTTTTAGTGCAAACTACAGAAATCAGCTCTGGCCAACTTCAGAAGGAAAGGACTTTAGTAAAAGAATAGTGAATGCTGTGGAGCTCACAGAATTGACAAGAAGATTAGAGAATTAGGCTTGGGGAAGGATTGATGGGAAGCAAGACATAGCCAAGATTTCTGTATCTCCCTATACAAACAGTGTGCTTCTGACACTGGTCATTGGACAGTCATCCTCAAGCTGCTGGACTTCATTGCTCTCAGACATTTACAGCCATGCCTTTGCATTCTTGAGTCTTCTACATCTGCTGTGAAATATCTCTGTTAGACCTTATGCCTTTACATTACTCCTCAAGATTTAAAGTACCAGTTACGGTTAGACATGCTCTAGCTCATGTTCTAGCTTCTAGGAAGGGGAAAAGAGAATATCTGCTCCTCTTCAGCTTTTGTAGTAGGAAGTGGTTCTTGCCTCCCGTATATCTGGAGTTTCCCCCAAATCAGAAGGGTATTTAGATGCTGGACAACCAAAGTTTTCCTATATCCACTATAGTATCTGTTTCTAAGAGTTTTTCTTAAAAGCTCTCTGGTAGAATTATCCATTTATTCAGCAAATATTTTTTGAGCCCTCGTGATGTACCAGGAACTGTGTTACGTACTTAAAAGGAACTATAATAGCAAGAGGGAGTGGTGAATAAAAGCAGAGGAATTTGTATTAAAATGTATTCATTGTGAATTAAGAATAGTGATATGTAAACAGATTAGTAATATACTTATCCTCTCTTTAATTGTCTTTCAAATTATATGCGTAATCTCTCCCTAAAATACCAGTGAATAGAGAAGAGCACAATGCATAGTTAGTAAAGGGTAAAAATTTAACTCCCTGTATAGTTCAGTGTTTCATGTAGAATCACATTTGAACTTTAATCTCTAGGGAGGATGAAGTGTTTATTTATTTGGGGGAAAACATTTCATTTGACCATGGAATTTTTATCAATGATTTACTTGATTTTCCTGTAAATTCCATCTTGTGCAACAACCTTCACTTAGTTTGTTTGGTTCCCTGAACTTTTCCTCTTCCTTTCGTTTTTCTGTCTTGTGTCAGTTAAACATGAAATAGCTCTACTCAACTTAGATATGG